AGGGTTGCGATCCGTTGCCGGACACGGAAAAAAGACAAAAAGACCAAAAAAAAAAAAAATAGATACCATTTTGTTTAATTAGGGTTCAAAGTCAGTGTTCCTGATCATCAAATCAACTGCAAATGTTTATCTGTAAAACCATTCTTAGCTGTGGACTATATGAAAATAGGCATCAGAATAGATTTACCTTGGGGGCTGTAATTTTCATGACTGTTTTAAATTACAGTCATGCATAGTTTAACGACAGGAATACATCTGAGAAATGTGTCATTAGGCAATTTCGTCATGTGTGAACATCATAGAGTGTACTTACACAAACAGAGACAGTACAGCCTACTACACACCTAGGCTATGTGATATAGCCTATTGCTTCTAGGCTACAAACCTGTACAGCATGTCACTATACTGAATACCATAGGCAATCATAACACAATGATTAGTATTTGTGTATCTAAACATAGAAAAGCCACACTCGGGCCGGCCCGGTGGCGCACTGCTATAGTGCGCCGCTTGGGAAGTGCGGTGGCGCTCTCGCTGAGGGTTCGGATCCGACATACAGACCGGCCGCTCACTGGCTGAGCGAGGGGCGGGAGCAACCCCGAGGGTTGCGATCCCGTGGCCGGTCCCGGTCCGGTACGGGCGCGACACTGAGGGTTGCGATCCGTTGCCAGGCACGAAAAAAGACAAAAAGAAAAAAAAAAAAACACACACACAAAAAAAGAAAAGCCACACTAAAAATTTGTTATAAAAGATAAAAAATAATACACATGGATAGGGACTTACCATGAATGGTGCTTGCAGGACTGGAAGTTGCTCTGGGTGAGTGAGTGAGTGAGTGAGTGGTGAATTAATGTGAAGGCCTAGGACATTACTGTACACTTCTGTAGACTTTATATACACTGTAAACTTAGGCTACACTAAATTCATAAAAAATATTTTTCTTCTTTCAGTAATAAATGAATCTTAGCTTACAGTAATTTTTTTACTTTATTGCCCTGGGTTGAATGTCCCCCCAAAACTTAATCCCCACTGTAACAGTGTTAAGAGGGTAGGAAATGCTATTATGGTAATTGAAAGGTGGGGCCTTGAAGAGGTGATTAGATTCTAGGACAATGCTATAATGAATGGATTAAAAATGGTGGTCATGGGTGTGGTTTTGAGGGCTCTAAAAAGAGAGTGAATGAGGAGGTTATTCTCTGCTCTCTCTGCTCCACCATTTTCTCAATGTAATACTCTGCTTTCACTGTCGCCACCACCAAGGCTTTCACCAGATGTATTTCCCGGACTTTGGACTTCCTAGCCTCAGAAACTGTAAGCAATAATTTTTTTTTTTTTTTTTTTAAGATGACCAGGATCTTTAAGGATCTTAACCCTTGACTTGGTGTTGTCAGCACCACGCTCAGCCAGTGAGCTAACCGGCCATCCCTATATAGGGATCTGAACCCATGGCCTTGGTGTTATCAGCACCGCACTCTCCTAAGTGAGCCATGGGCCAGCCCTAAATTTTGTTTTTTTTATAAATTACCCAGTTCCATGTATTTTGTTGTAAGCAACAGAAATGGACTAATGCATTTATAAACTTAATTTTTAAAACTTTTTGACTCATAATAATGCATAGCTTAAAACACAAACAGTACAGCTGTTTTGTATAGTACAGCTATACAAAATATTTTCTTTCTTCATATCCTTATTCCATAAGCTTTTTTCTATTAAAATTTTTTAACTTCTTTAATTTTTTTGTTAAAAACAAAAACAAACACACACATTAGCCTAGGTCTACAAAGGGTCAGGGTCATCACTACCACTGTCTTATACTCCATATCGTGTCCCACTGGAAGGTCTTCAAGTGTAGTAACATGCATGATGCTGTCATCTCCTATGATAAGAGTCTTCTTCTGGAATATCTCCTGCAGGACCTGCTTGAGGCTATTCTTGAGGTGTCACTCTTTTCAGAAATATGCCCATGATTGTTTGCTTGGTTTGTTTTTTCATCACGGATTTGCTTGTAAGCAGATAACACACCATAACATTCTTCTCTATTAATGAAAACCTTTTGGTGTTAGGTCCATGTTTTCAAATTTTTTTAAGGAGCTTCTTGAGGTCTGCAAAAGCTTCTGCTAAATCCTTCACTGTGAATTTTCTTGGGGGTTCTTTTTCTTCCCCTGCAGTTTCCTTTTCTCTTGCCTCTTCTTTAGCTATGTGTTCCTGTTTCAGTTCAAACTCCTCATTAGTCAGTTCTTCAGGAACCACCTCTAGGAGATCCTCAGTGTGATCCTGATCCACACCCAGATTAAAGTTGTTTGTCATCTCAATCACAGTCTTGTTGAGTATTGCATTGCACTGACATTATGATGGCTACTACATCACTAGGCGATAGACATTTTTTAGCTCCATTACAATCTTATGGGACCACTGTTGTATATGCAGTCCATTGTTGACCAAAACATTGTTATATGGTGCATGACTGGACAATCAGATCATATCATTCTCTCAAAACCCTGTGAATTAGTTTTCTATTGTTGTGCAACAAATGATCACAAATGCAGCAACTTAAAACAACACCCATTTATTATCCTCACAGTTCTGTAGGTCAGAAGTCCAAGTAGGTTTTGCTGGATTCTCTGCTTAGGGTCTCACAAGGCTGAGGTCAAGGTGACCTCTTATGAGGATATTTCAAAAAGTTCATGAAAAGATTTGCATTACCTTTAGTTCTATTTTCCACAAACTTTTTGAAGTACCCTTGTATATGGAGGATCTGGGAGAGAAACCATTCCCAAGCTCATTCAGGTTGTTGGCAGAAGCCAGTTCCTTGTGATCGTAGGGCTGAGGTCCCCATTTCTTTACTGGCTGTTAGCCAGGAGCCACTCAGCTTCTAGAGCCTGCCTGCATTGCTTGTCATGTGGCCTCCTCCATCTTCAAGCCAACATCAGCACGTCAAATCCTTCTCCTGCTTTGAATCTCTCTGACTTCCCTTTCTGTGACCAGTTAGAAAAAACTCTTTGCTTATAAAGGTCTTCCCTGATTGGGTTAGGCCACCAGCATAATTGTATCTCAAGGTCAACTGACTTGGACTTTAATTACATCTGCAAAATCCCTTCCTAGCAGTACCTAGGTCAATGTCAGATTGGATAACCAGGGAACAAGAATCCTGAGGGGAGTCCATCTTTAGAACTCTGCCTGCCACATTCTATAATAACTTCCTACCCAGAGTAAAAAAGAAAAGTTGCTTACATGGGGCAACTGATTTGTGTCACCTGCTCTCCCCCAACCTCATGAATGCCTCATTACTTCTCTGATGTTATTTCCTACCACTCTCCTTCTGGCTTACTCTGTTCATCCACAGCCTTTTTGCTGTTGCCTGAACATGCCAGACACACTCCCACATCAAGATCTCTGCCTGGAATGCTCTCCTCTCAGATATGTACTTCGTTAACTCCTGTATCTCTAAGTCTTAGCCCAACTTTCACTTTTTCAATGAGGCATATCTGACCAAACTATTTAATACTACAACCTGCACCATCATTTCTGGCATTGTCCATTTCCCCTCCCTGCTCCACTTTTTCTCTTTTCTACTGTAATTATCACCTTAACATATTATATACTTTACTTATTTGTGGCGTTTATTATCTGTCCCTCCTTGCTAGAATTAAGCTCTTCAAGGGTAAGGCATTTCGTCTATTTTTGTCACTGATAGATTCTAAGCTTCTAGCACAGTGGCTGGCACAAAAATAGGTGATCAATAAATATCACTGAATGAATGAAATTTTGGGAAACTCCTGTTTCAGTTTTCTATATATATGTATATGTGTACTAGGGGCTGGCCGGTTCGCTCAGTTGTTAGAACACAGCCTTATAACACCAAGGTCGTGGCTTCAGATTCCCACACTGGCCAGCTGCAAAAAAAAAAAAAAGGAAAAAAGAGAAAAATAGGCTGTAATGTAAAATATTTCTAATTGAGGAATGCAGTCAAGAGTTTGAAAAGTACTGGGGTTAGACCAAATGACTTCTAAGGTTTTCTCCAAATTTGAGCACTTATGAATTTCTATGGGCAGCTAGTGAATCTCCACTATATCTTTTGGGAGATGGCAATGTTCACAGCCTAGTGATTATAGCAAGGCAGTGAACAACACTGACACCAAAAAAGCAAAACTGTCATCCCTACTGTTCATAATCATAGGTGCTACAGTTAGAATGTTTGTTCCACCCAAAACTCATGTTGAAATTTAATCTCCAGTGTAACCATATTAAGCGGTGAGGCCTTTTATTTAATTTTATTTTTTAAAAAAAGATGACTGGTAAGGGGATCTTAACCCTTGACTTGGTGTTGTCAGCACCATGCTCTACCAAGTGAGCCAACCGGCCATCCCTATATAGGGATCTGAACCCTTGGCCTTGGTGTTATCAGCACCACACTCTCCCAACTGAGCCATAGGCCAGCCCTGAGGTTGGGCCTTTTAGAGATGATTGGGTCACCAGGGCTGTGCCCTCATGAATGAATTAATCCACTTATGAATTAATGGATTAACGGGTTATCATAGGAATGGGTTAGGTATCACGAGAGTGGATCTGCTATAAAAGCCAGTTTGGCTCTCAGTGAGCCCTCTTGCCATGTGATGCCCCATGCTACCTCCAGACTCTGCAGAGTCCTCACCAGCATGAAGGCCCTCACCAGATGTGGCCCCTCAGCCTTGGACTTCCCAGCCTCCAGAACTGTAAAAAATAAATTTATTTTTCCTTCAGATCCCTGACAACTGCAAAAAAAAAAAAAAAATATATATATATATATATACTTTTTATTACCCAGTCTCAGGTATTCAGTTTTAGTAACACTAAAAGAGTGGGTTAGGAAAAACTGTTTCAGCAAGAACCACTGAAGGCCCTAAAATAGAAAAATCTGAAATTAACCTTTCTATCAATAAAAGATATTACTTCAGAATAAGTGACAAAAGAGAACATTTGCCAGATCAAAATTTCCCTGGTTGAAGCTTCCAATCACTTACTGAAGGAGCGAAGAAGAGTGAAGAAAGATATCATTCACAGTCTTTGCTGTAGAAATTGTGATCTGAATGGATGTTGGCAGCAAACACCATTTCTGAAGTAGGTATGATTTCCATTCATCCACGGGCAGATCCATGCTACTTTAGCTATAAAATAAATAAGAAAATAGGAATTCAGACTTCTACAGATGCACAATTCTACAAAATCAAGATTTCATTCAAGCAAGGGTTGAAGCAAGAAAATCAATTCCTGTAGTCTTTTTCCATAGTTGTTTATATGCTAAGAAAGGATCTATATTTTCTCATACCAATTCACTCAATATCTTTTCATTCAGAAATATTTGCTGAAAGCCTACTTTGTTCCAGACACCATGCTGGGTGATGGTTAAACAAAGACAAATCAGATTAGATAGCTACCATCCCTGTCCTCTTAGACCTCCATCTGCCCTGGTTGTTCAAGTCAGAAACGTGAGAGACATTCCAGATTTTTTTTCGCTCAACCCAGCAACTACTAAGTTAACAAATATCTATATCTCTTACACAGTTCAGTTTTCTCTTTCACTCCCCAAGTCATTTCTTCAGTTCAAACCCTCCTCATCTCTTGTCTGGCATTCTCTCTAGAGTGTCATAACTAGTCTCCACGCCTTCGGTCCTGCCTCCCCAACGCTTTTAATCCATCCTCCACATTGGGACAGATGTCAGCCTTCTGCTTTAATTCATGAATGCTCCTCCTGGCATATAGGTAAGCCTAGTACAAACCTGTCATTATTTGACCCTCGGCTTACTTTCTAATTCTCAAGTCCCACTTCTTCCTCTGCACCCTATCATATTGAACTACTCATTGCTATCCCCAGCTTGCCAGTCTATCTTATCTCTGCAACGTTTTGGCATAGGCTATTCATGCTTCCAGGAACATCCCCACCCTCACTTGGAGTCCACCTGACAAGTTCCCACACATCCTTCGACGCAGTTCAAATGGCACCTCTTCCGATAAGCCTCCTCGGATATGCCCTCTGTAATTCCAGCACACTTGGGGCCCGTACCACGTCTACCTTGAGTTAGGGCTACTCACGACGGAAACTCCCTCGACAGACTGTGCTCTCTTCTGAGGGCGGAGACCCGGTCTTATTTACCTTTGGCGAACCGCACAGTGCCACGCTCAGGGCCTGGCACGGGCGGGAGGTCAGCACTGGGCCGCTGAAGAAACCAAGTCACTGCTTTGACTATATTTAGCAGCAGAGTTATTAGGGCACAGCTCTAGCTCTCCTCTGGGCTTCCAGTCTGTCTACCAGCCAAAGACCGAGCTGGGTGTGTGCTTAACAAAACCGGCTCGGAGAGCTCCCGGAACCGGGCCACCTGTGCCCACAGCCGTATCCACGTGACACTTGGCGAGCCCCTGGGCTCGGCGCTCCGCCCCCAGATCCCCCAACCAGCGCCTAGGCCTCGAACCCGGCCTCGGGCGAGTCACAAGGGCCGCTTGCCGCGCCTTGGCCAATGCGGGGGCTGCTCGGCTTTTAGGCCCGCCCCTGTGCCGCGCGCACGTCGGGGGCGGGAGTGGCGCGCGCAACGCCTCGGGCCAATCGCCGTGCAGCGCGCTGCACCCCGGTAGTGAAGCCCGGGCTGCCGAGGAGCCGGAGCGCGGGAGTTAGCGCGGCGGAGCCATGGTGGGCCAACTGAGCGAGGGGGCCATTGCGGTGAGCAGACATCTGGGAGCCGGGCCGGCGGGCCGGGGTGGCTTTGGGCCCGAAGTCGTGCGGAGTGGAGAAGGCGGTGGGGAGCCGGGGGAGATGGGGAGAGAACGCGAGAGGAGGAGACTGCGGGGGTCGGTGGGGGAACCGCCGGGGGTCTCTCTGGTATCATCACCCTGTCCCCAAGGGATTCTTTCCATCATCTTTTAAACGTGCTCAAGTTTTTCGTACTTACGAAAACAAAACAATAAAGACTTGCTTTTCCTCCCATCTCCACCTGCGGCCGCTCCGTCTCCTCCCCTTCCCCCACCCACAGCCCAACTTTTCCAGTTGTCTGTTTCCAACTATTTCATTTCCTCACCTCGCATTAACTCTTTACCCCACTCCAATCGCTCACTGTACAGAGGACTGTGGCTGAAGTTACCGAGTTACTTGGCCTCCAAGTCGCTAAATTCAACTGACACTTTTCAGTTTTCATTTTATCTGCGTTCTCAGCAACGTTGGAGTCTGTTAGGCGTTGCTTCCGTCTGGTAACACTCTTCCTTTGGCTTCCATGGCTCAGTTTGGCTGGTTTTCATAAATTTTTATTGACTCAAGGCTCTGCCCTAGGCCCTCTTCTCCCAGGGCAGCCTTATTACCATTTATATGTCAACTGCTCACAGATTTCTTTGTCCCGAGCCATCTTTACTACTCTGCAAGACAAACTTCTATAATCCGTCTGCCTACCTGATGTCTCAAAGGCACCTTAAATTTAACATATCTCAAAGCAAATCTGTTTTCTTCATAAGTCTGGGCCTCTCGTTGTTCCCTGTCTCAATGAATGGCACCATTAGTGGTTAAGTTATGCCAGCCAGAAATTGAGGAATCATTCTTCCTGCGTTCTTCTTCATTCTGGATGTCCAGTGCATCACCAAGTCTGATATATTTTACCTCTACGTACACTCTTAAATCCATCTACTTCTTTGTCCACACTGGCACCATCATTTCTTTCTTTTTTTTTTTTTTAAAGATGACTGGTAAGGGAATCTTAACCCTTGTTTTTGGTGTTGTCAGCACCACACTCAGCCAGTGAGCGAACCGGTCATCCCTATATAGGACCCGAACCTGTGGCCTTGGTGTTATCAGCATCACACTCTCCCGAGTGAGCCACAGGCTGGCCCTTGGCACCATCATTTCTTGATGGACTGCTCACTTCCAGTCGGCCTACCCTCCTTTTGCCATTCTCCTCCTAGCATATTCCCATTTGTTCTCTCCTCCTCTCTAGGCTTCTTCTTCTTTTTTTTTTTTTTTTTTTTTTTTTAAATTTTAAATTCCTGATATATTCCATAGTCTTGCGTTCCAAGGGCCTTTGAACATTCTTTTCCCTCTGCGTACTGCCCAGATGGTTTTTCACTCTCCCTCCTCACTGGCTAACATCATCTTCAAATCTCAGTTTAATTGTTACTTCCTCAGGGAGGTCTTCTTTGACTTCCTTTACTAGGCTAAATCCCTTTATTTTGAGACTCTAATTCCTCCTCGTTCACTTATTAGCTGTGTGACTTTGGGCAAGATCCTAATTTCTGTTTTCCTTTTCTGTAAAATGAGGGTAATGATACTAGTACTTGTTGCATAAGGTTAGTGGGAGGATTAAGTGAGTTACTACGTTTAAAATGCCTACTACATTTAAAATGCCTCGTCCAGTGCCTGATACATAGTAAATGCTCAGTCTGTGTTACCTATCATTAATAATCACAGATGTAATTTTACATTTATTTGTTGTTTATTCGATTAATATCAGTTACTTTTTGTCTCCCCTTCTAGATTGTAAATTCCGTAAGGTCGGCAATCATGTCTGAGGGGTTTTTTTGCCCAGCATAGTATCCGTGAATATCGCATGAATGAATGAGGCAGTGGAAAGAAAGGGACAGAGATGGAGGGGGAAGAAAGGCAGCTTGGAAGAAAACAGGAAAGGGAAGAACAGTTGTCAGAGGCAAATGAATATTTGAATAAATTAGGAATGTATGAATGCTGAAACCTGGAACGTGATTGCTAATTGTAGTCCTCATTTATTTTGTAGCTACTACCTTGCACCTTTAAGACAATTTGGGAATGGTTCTTCACTTCTAAAAAGAATGATCATGAGTTATCTAAATATTTTGAAAAATTAGTTTTCCCTGTATTCAGAATTTTACAAGCCTATTTCCAGTGTTAGGTGAAGTATTACTTGGGTTTTTGTTCACAAGTGAAAAAGGGAAGTTTTTGTGTGTGTTTGTGGTAATAGAGTGAGTGTGGAGAAACTGTCAACTTTATCAGCTTAAGTATTTTAGTTATGTAGGTAGCGCACAAATAGTGGAGGTGTTTTAGACAAGAGCTAACATCATAAAATAAGAGATTATGCATGGAATTATTGTAGTAAATAAAATAAATAACATTTGTATCTTAAGTAATTGGGTTATAGAAAGAAAGGGGAAGGGAACTGATTTTTTTTTTTTGTCTTTTTGTCTTTTTTCCGTGTCCGGCAACGGATCGCAACCCTCAGTGTTGCCCCCGTACCCGACCGGGGACCGGCGACGGGATCGCAAGCCTCGGCGTTGCTCCCGCGCCTCACTCAGCCAGTGAGCGGGAGCCGGTCTGTACGTGGGATCGGAACCCTCAGACGGGAGCGCTGCCGCGCTTCCCAAGCGGCGCACTATCCAGTGCACCACCGGGCCGGCCCGGGAACTGATTTTTTTTTTTGTCTTTTTTCCGTGTCCGGCAACGGATCGCAACCCTCAGTGTTGCCCCCGTACCCGACCGGGGACCGGCGACGGGATCGCAAGCCTCGGCGTTGCTCCCGCGCCTCACTCAGCCAGTGAGCGGGAGCCGGTCTGTACGTGGGATCGGAACCCTCAGACGGGAGCGCTGCCGCGCTTCCCAAGCGGCGCACTATCCAGTGCACCACCGGGCCGGCCCGGGAACTGATTTTTTTGACCGTTTCCAGTGTGTCATACTTTTATAATCATCAGTGCTTAAGTAAGATAGATTTTTATCAATACGACCATCTTACAGATGAAGAAATTCAAGTGCAGAGAGGTTTACATTGAAATAATATAAAAATAAATAATAATACCTCATGGGGTAAGGATTTGAACTCATGTGCCCTTGACTATTGCATTCTGTTGCCTTGTATTTTTATTAGCAATGTTAATGTGGAAAATTTAAGGCAGTTTTATCTTAAGTGTACATGTCATGCTATCCCAGAAAAAAGTAATCTTGTAGTCAGTATTATGATGACACATTTTAAATAAAAAAGAATAAAGGAATACATGTATGGTTTTAAAATCAAATAGAACAGATCAGTGTTTAATGAAATTTCTGACCTTCTGCCCGGTGTTGCCCAGTTCTGTTCCCCAGATACAATTACTTTTTAAAAAAATCACCTTCATTGAAGTTTTATTTACATGTAATAAAATATACCTATTTTAAGTGTACAGTTTGAATTTTGACAAATATATGCAGCCTGTAACCACACCACCCCAATCTAGATATAGAATATTCCCATCAGTACACTTAGTTTCCTCCTGCTCCTCCATCTTCTCCCACCTCCTAGGCAACCACTGTTCTGGTTTCTATCACTATAGATTTTTTTTGGGGGGGGCTGGTCAGTGCAGGGATCAAACCCTGGACCTTGGTGTTATCAGCACCATGCTCTAACCAAGTGAGCTAACCCACCAGCCCAACTATAGGTTGACTGTTCTAAAACTTCATATAAATGGAATCACAAAATAGCTACCCTTTTGTGTCTGGCTTCTTTTTTTCAGCAAAATGGTTCCTGGGATTTATCCATGTTGTTTCCATAGTTTGCACCTTTTTATTGCTGAGTAATATTCCATTGTATGACTGTAACACAATTTGTTTACTTCTTGTTGGGCATTTGGGTTATTTTCATTTTTTGGTTATTATGAATGAAGATGTCGTGAACCTTATATCCAATTTTTTTGTGGAAATATGCTTTTATTCCTCTGAGATAAATAGCAAGGAGTGCAGTTGCTGGGTCATATGGTAGCTGGTTGTTTAACTTTATAAGAAATTGCTAAACTCTGTTTTCCAAAGTGGTTATGAGAATTCTAGTTGCTCCATATCCTTGCCAATACTTAGTATTGTCAGTCTTTTTAACTATTGTGGTGAATTTGTAATGATATCTCACAGTGGTTTTAATTTATATTTCTGTGATGACTAGTTAATGATATCTCACAGTGGTTTTAATTTATATTTCTGTGATGACTAGTTAATGATATCTCACAGTGGTTTTAATTTATATTTCTGTGATGACTAGTTAATGATATCTCACAGTGGTTTTAATTTATATTTCTGTGATGACTAGTTAATGATATCTCACAGTGGTTTTAATTTATATTTCTGTGATGACTAGTGATGTTGAGCATTTTTTCATGAGCTTATTGGCTCTTTATATATCTTCAACTCTTTTGCCCATTGAAAAAGTTGGCTTGTGTTCTTATTAATGAGTTGTAAGAATTCTTTGTTTATTCTGGATATGTTTTTTGTTAAATTTAAGTATACATATTATATATTTTTTTCTCCCAACCTGTGGCTTGCCTTTTCATTCTTTTAATGGTGGTTTTGTGTTTATTTTTTTTGAAGAGCAG